TGAGTGAGGAAATTCGAGTAGTTTTGACCCAGAAAGCGAAATTTGAATATCATCCACTTAGGTGCAAGATTATGCCAAAATTTCATGTTTTCCGTCCCGTTTTTGCTCATATTTCGGAGGCAAACCGAGCAAGAACGCTCATTTGTACATCATTCTAGAGAGAAATAAACGGCCTTTTTAGAAAGTGAACCATGGATGGGGAAGTGTTGGCAGTTTTCTCAAAAAAGGCTTGAATTCAAGAAGTTTCAGACTTGCGTGGTTTTTTTTTGAGTTGCAAGTTTCTCAAGAACCATTAGAGCCAGATAATTCGTTTTGGCATCATTGGATAGATAATTGAATGGGGGGGGGGCATGACCCCCACGACCTCCCCCTCCTAGATCCGCCCTTGACCTTGTTGCCAGGTTGCGTGAATCTACCGGCGTTCGAGTACTCCTCCCGCACCTGTAGCCAATCTAAGATTTATGACATGGCTTATGTTAGCTCCCCTTTGTTTTATTCGCGTTATATTACAACTGTAAAACTTCTGTCTCGTCCGAACGTGGTGCTTTCACTTTGGAGACTCTCGTAAAATATTAATGGGCCGTCGGATGAAATCCGCACTTTTTCAGTTATACTCCTTAGGAGGAAAAAAACATTTCCCCGAAATTAATTCGAATCGAATCGGCAACTTTTCGCTCTGCGACGCCAAGAGGAGAAATGAAGGGGTGCATTTTTCGGAGGCGACACGCCTGACATAGATAAATGGGTGTCCGTGTACGAGTACGTAAATAACTTAAAAGTTTTCTCGCGAAATTGAATTCGCATTATCCGAGGGAGGGCAGCCCGAAAGCTGTTGCCGTTTTTCTTGTCACGTATCGATAATGCGATGGAAGCGCGCCCCCAAGCGCCATTCCGACTCACAATGAGCCCCAGAATCATTAGTTTCAATCAACATATTAATCGGATTTCATCATTTACACCCTCCATTTCGTTTGGGGCATCAATTGCGCTTGGACGTGCAATTTGTTTGACAAATTCCTCAAAAAATGAGCCCTTCAAGAGGCTTCGCGGAGCAACGGCAGTCCAAGAGTGAAAAATGGGCGAAAACCCTTGCCGCGATTAACAGTTGCTGACTTACTAGAAGCTTTGAAGGGCAATTATTTAACAATCATCTTCCAATCAACACCATGAAGGTTAGCAAAAAGAGTGAAGCAGAATTGCCTATTTTGAGTCTTTAGCTGCATCTGCAATTTGCAGGAAAAATAGAACAGAGTTTTGTCTACCTGAGAACAAAATTTTACAGTCTCTACTTGCTTTTGTGTCCGCGATGTGATTTTTTGAACAAAATCTGCCGGTAAATTTTATATCAGTTTGTTACCGCCTGAATTAACGATTATTTTAGACTCGCCCTAAATCGCTACAAAACCCAAATTTTGAGGAAACGTATAGTAGAGTTTTGCCTATTTTGGCGCACAAAGTTGAAATGTTTACCTCCTTTCGTTTTGAGATGTGATTTTTGAAAAAAATGTTCACCTAAATTCAGTTTCAGTTACTTGCACAAGTTTATATTTTTCTTGAAAACTGCTTCTATTTGTTAGAAACAGCAGAATTTTGTCAAGTTTTCAACCACATTTTTATCCGAGACGTATTTTTTCAAATAAAATGTGTCGGTAAATGTGATATGAATTAGTTGGCGGCGTTGGCGCTTAAGTTTGCAAATATTTAAAAACCGCTTTATTTTGTTAGAAAACGGAAATTTGCACAAAAAGTACAGCAGAGTCTTAACTATTTTATAGCAAAAATCCAAGTATCTACCTCATTTTGTCTTCGGGAGGTGATTTTGTCAAATAAAATGTGCTCGGAGATTTAGTATCACTTAGTTGCTGTGCAAGTTTGCAATTAAAAAAAAATCGACGCAATGTACAAGAAACTCAACACTTGCACAAAGAGTAGAGTAGAATTTTGCCAATTTTGAGCCACAAATTCAAGTTTCTACGTGCACTTTTGTCCGATACGTGATTTTTTAAATAAAATATGCACGTAAATGCAATATCAATTAGTTGCCGCTCAACGTTGCAACTATTTAAAAAATGCCCTAATTTAGTAATAAACCAAAATTTGGGCGAAAAGTACAGTAGATGCTTACCTATTTCATAACACAGATTTCAAGTCTCTACCTCGTTTTGCCTTCGAGATGTGATTTTTTAAATAAAATGTGCCCGTAAATGGTATCTCAATTAGTTGAGGCCTAAGTTTATTTTTTTTTCAAAATTGCCCTAATTTACGAAAAAACCCAAATTTACAGGAAACGTTTAGTAGAGTCCTGCCTACTGCGTAGCACAAAATTCAGCCCTTTACCTGCTTTAGTGTTCGAGATGTGAATTTTTTAATAAAAAGTGCACGCAATTTGGGTATCAGTTAGCTGCTGCTGCTCAAGT